CTTGGGGAAGCCGGGGCTTTCCTGGGGGCTCGGCTAGAAAGCATATGGCACTTAATCCAGCTTTTAAGGTGACACTTTATTGCTTAATCAATTGATTGGTTTTGAAATGATATTTTTGCAGATAGGCACCTATGCAACTTAATGTGGCTCTTAAGCAGATGAGCACTTCCTCCTCAACGAGCTTGATAAGAGTTATTTGTGTTATATACTGTGGATTTTTCCAGTAAATGTGGCTTAATATTTTAATTCTTAGAATGTGTGTCTATTATATATGTGATGCAACTTAATTCTGTTCTGTTTGTGGAATGATTAGCACAGGCCAACTCCCTGTTCCCCTCACTTAACAAAGACCAATGAGCTGTTAATCGAGCTGTTATCTCCATGGTATTACTTGCTAAATGCACTGATTTCATAAGTATGTGGAATCCTTTTTTTTTTAAAATTTTTTTCTTTTTTTTTTTTAAATTTCCTTTTGAATCTGTATATCATATATAAGACTGAATCTACTTAATAAACACTGTATAACAAAAAGGGCTTTCTCCTCCACTGTCGAGCACCCCTGGGTGCTGCCCCTGGCCCCCACCCCCAGCCCCAGCCCATGCGCTGGGCGAGGGCTCAGTGCGACCGGTCACTAGAGCGGGGTCTAAATTTTAGGTGTTTAAAGAAAAAGAAAAAAAAAAGTAATCTATGTTTCAATAATTTTGACATAAGCTGTGCTTTCCATTCCTTAACAGACGGCCGCGGGTACCATAGAGAGCAGCGTTAGCACTCACGAGTGGGGCTAGTCACAAATTTTATGCTTAACTTATATTTTGACAAAATTAATTTTGTGAAGTGTCTGGTTTTTGTGGAAAAAAAAAAAAAAAGAATAATGGAGTTTTCATTGAAGTTTGTGGAAAGTTCTCCCTCTCCCTCATGGAAAATACTGATTTTTCGTTATCAGCTTTATTCACTAAGTATAATAAATCTTTGCATCCATAAACCGTTCATCTCAAAGCGCTGTGTAGATTCAAATCTCCTGGTTCGCATCAGCAGCTGCCCGACAGGCAGGAGGGTTCAGGAGAGACACGAGCCAAGTGGGTGGGTGGCTTTTGGGGCACCCCCTACCCTGGGTTCATGGGGACCCCCCCAAGGTCTGCGCTGGCTCAGGGTCCCCTGGCCAGCATGTCCCCAGCTGTCCTTGGGGACAGGTCCTTGTGCCCGGGGTGGGCGCAGAGCTGACGGGAGGGCTCAGAGCACACGCGCGAAGAAGCATCTCCCGCGGGTCCATGGCACGGGCAGGTTGGATAACATTAAGCTCCTGGGTAAGTTCTGCTCCTGAATTTTCTAAGGAGTGGAGGCAGGGATCGGCAAACCAACCTGCAGCTCCCGCGGCCCTGGGGATGCGGGAAGTGCCCTCTGCCTGCTGCAGAGCCGGGCTGCTCACAGGCTGCAGCCAGGACCCCCTCACACACACACGGATAAATCCCGACGCAGAGTTTAAACCACAAACGGAGCAGGGTGTTGTATCACGGCGGGGATCTAAACCCTCCTCCGCCCCCACTGCCCCATTTACGAGGTCGCTGCCTGCCCTGCAGGGCAGCCCCACAACCAACCAGACCCCGGACACGTAACATGACCATTCCCCTTATTCTTACCACCTAGAAAAGAGAAAGGACGTGTCAATAAACTAAGTTTGCAGGTAGTTTCAATAAACAGTGTAACTGGTATCCACTCTTTAGGATTTCAGATGCATTTATCCAACAACCGAGAGGGGAACACAGAGCCAGGTGACAGTGCCCGGGCCAGCGCTTGCCCAGAGCCAGGGTGAGCACCTCCCCCTGCATCCCAAGTGTAAAAACCCCAATTTAACGAAGCCGAGGCAGCAACGAAGCCCCCACGCTTTTCCAGCTGTCGAGCAGAGCTCTGAAACACGCCCAGTTAAAAGAGGAAAGGAAAAACCACATTCCCTTCGAGAGTCCAGAGGAGGATTTCAGAAGAAGAGGATTGAAGCCACAAATGCAGGTTTTAGAGAGTGTTTATTTTTCCAATACCACAAGGGACAGACAAGAGCAGGTCCCCCCCGGGGGCTCTGCAAACCAGACCAGTTCCAGCCCACACTACAGTGGCCCCAAAGGAGGCAGAGCCCGACCCCGGCTCCGCTCCCCATCTTTGGTAAGCAGGTTTCACGCCGTGGCTCCCCTCACTCCGGGGCCCTGGCCCCTCTCGCTCCCCCACGCTGAGGCTGGCAGATGCGTTCAGGAGAAACCATTCTAGAGCCTAAACTTGTTGCATCCCTCAGGCTTGCATCTCAAACAGGGACTTGTACAGTCAAAAAAAAAAAAAGAAAAAAAAAGTGCATGGTCAAGGGAGGTAGGATAGAGCTAGTAAAGGGACAAGAAGGAAAAATAAAAAGAAACCCTACAATTCTTGCTACTCCTGCTCAAATAAACCACTGACTTCTCCCCCTCGCCTGAAGTGGTTCCCTCTTGGTTAGTAACTGCTCCAAAGAGGAAGAGATTCACGGTTTTGCTCTCGCTCTGTGGATGCACAAGTGTGTTCACCTCCTGGCACCGAAGTGACAACCACGCCTGTGCTCGGTCACAACCAGCGACGACTCCAAGGAGCGGCCGGGGAACGCTGGGCTTGGGCCAGCCCACCCGCTCACCCCCGAGCCCGCCGGGTCCCGGGCCCCCCGGGGTCCCGGCCCCCCTGCCGAAACTGAGCGGCACCTGGGCAGGGTGAGCCTCCAGGGAGGCAAGAGAATACAGGGGCTCTGACTACAGATGCAGATCAGTAACTAACACCACTTTAATGCAATACTGCTTTCGAGCCTGGAACTCCAAGGGGAAAAAAAAAACAAAGAAAAAAAAAGAACCCTTTATGTTCTCTATGTACATTACATCCATTTACAGAGTTGGCCAGTACTGTGTACAACATATAAATACATGGTCAAACAGATGCATAGAGGATACTTACAGGAGCCAAATAACTCACTTTATACATCCAAGAATGAAAATATAAAAAAGAAAAAAAAAAGAGAGGAAAAATACTGCTTTAAACGTTAGATGACCGTCACACAGACGCACAGGTAGACGCTCGCAAGTGGTCGGATGTCGTCGTGTTAAGGTCCTCACCGCAAGGCTGCAACGCAGAGGTTGTCACCCGCAGCAACGAGCTTCTAGGAGCCCCCGACGTTTCAGGCTCCTTCGTGGAAGTCAGCTGAGAGCG